GGCGCTGCCCGCGGCCCCCCCGTGCGCGCTGGGCTACGCCGCCCGCGCCGCCCGCTCCATCCCCGCCGCAGCCGCCGCGGCCCCGGGAATATGGAGCCGTCTCCGACGAATTACTCCTCGGGCAGCGACCGAAAACAGGATCTTCTTATCCCCCCCCCACCACCCCGCCCGCGCCTCCCCCCGCGCTTTCCCTTCCTGTTATTTTCTAGGTACACAGATCGGTTTCTATGAAAATAGGAGAGCAGAGAGCGCTCCAGTCCCGCCCGGCCCTCCCTTCCCCGCTGAAGCATGACATGGTTCTTTATGCGCGCCCGACATGGAGGCAGGGCGGCGAGGAGAAGCCGGCCGGCGTTGGCAGCAGCATTCCCGCTCCCCCGGCCAAAGGCGCCCGGCCCTGGGGCCTGGGAGTGCCCTGGCCCCGCTGTCACGGAGGCCCAGGCCCAGCAAGGAGCGGCTCCTCCGGGTACCTGCACACCCATCCCGAGCCCTCCCCATGCCAAGCAGCCTGAGCAGACCCTAGGCAACGGCCTGGCTGCTAAGCACAAGGCTGTCCCAATTTCTGTACCCAGCGTCTTCACTGCCAGACCCTCCACCTGCCTTCTCAGCTTACAGCTAAAACCCACATCCACCCAGCCATGGACCTCGGAGCTGCACAATGGTGACATCCCCTTGCAGGGTGTTTGGGATCTCTTGCTTGCCAGGTGATGCCAGTTTTTCCCTGTGGAAGGGAAGCCCGGGTAACTCACAAATCCCAGATACTGCTGCTTTTACCATAATGTTATCGATTCAGCTGTAATGTTCAAACATCAATTATTATTGACATTTATTATACTCAAGTACCTTATCTAGTAAAACTAGATAGGCACCTGCTAGGTGGGTCACAAGCAGCAAAGTTTAGGAAAGGTTTTTCTGCAGGTCTGGCTGAAACTCTAGCAATAGGTTCCCCAACCACTCCCACATTTAAGATGGCAACTGTCCTCTTTGGGTTTAGGGAGACAGCTCTGGCTGATACTCCTGACTCCCAAGGAAAGCACCTGGCCACAGGCAGTTCCTGCTGATGAAGAAGGAAATAGATGGCTGAGAACTGTAGGGTCACATTTTGGGGAGGGCGTAGATGGACCACAGAGAGCACTTCCAGTCTGCAATGGCTGGTAATGGTAGAAGAATAAGAAAAATAAATGCTCCTTCTAGCACCTGTTCCTGGGCTGGCACAGGACCAAGAAGACTTGCTTTTTATGGTAGCCCCAGATGTGGCTCTGGAGCCCAAATGCTGCTGTTGCTAGTATGTAAGTCAAGAAAGTTTTCACTCTGGGTCATAAAAAAGGATAAGCACTTCACTGCTGGTGGAAGCACTGCTGTAAAAGCCCAGGTATCAGTAGCAGACTAATAATGGAAGAAGAATTCCAAAAAGCTGGATAAACATTTAGATAATTAGCCTGCACTGTGCTCAGTGCTGTTACCTGTTCTGAAGTACTGATACATCTGGCCAAACAGCTCACTTTCACTTTCACATCAAATAGGATTTTGTATCCTCTTAAATTGATTCCCTTCAGAAAAATGTAATATAAAGTCTCTGAGTATAGGAGCTGGGCACTCTGATCTGACTCTCTCCAGAATAATCCTATGTGGTGTCTTACACAGGATTACCTCCCCAAACCAGCCTTCCCTCCAGAACTCTTACTAGAGAGGTGGAGCTGCCTTTTTTTAATGCATTGTTTGCTTTTCATCTCAGATATTAATAGCTCTTTCTAGTAACTTATTTAGTGACCTTAAATCAGAAAGGAGCAGGATGTGTGCCAGTTAGTTGCAAAAGGAAACTCTACACTTTATGTACACACCCAAACAAAAATGTACTGCTAATGTCAAAATAGCAACATTGAAGTGACTAGATACAGAACTGAAACATCTCATGGCAATGTGCACATTTGCATTTCCTTTTGTCCCAACACCGGTGTTTGCAGAAAATGCAGTGAATGGTTTCTAGTCTGCAGTGAAGATAATCACTGAGAGCTCCAAAGAAAACTATTGCCATGGACATGCACGGATGCAGGCTCTCTTTTCCTCGTGAATAGACTGCAAAGGAGTTGCTAAGGTAAGAACTCTGTTCAGGTTTGGCCAGCTGAAAACTCTTAAAACATTCTGCAGATAGTTCCTCCATCAAGCTATGGTTAAGATGATGGGAAAAAGATGGAGAAGAAAACAGCTAATTTCCTTGCTGACAAATGAAAATCCAAATCCACACATTAAGAGGAAAGTAAAGAACATTGGCACAAAACACAAAGGAGTTTGGTAGTGTGCCTAACCCCCTCAGCCACTCATCACAGCACACAAAGCCTGAGATCTGCTGGCTCACCTGTATTCTGTTCCTTTCTCTTCCCTTACAAAGGGGAGTTCATCTACTCCTTCCGTACGGAAGTGGAAAAGAGGAGGGATGAGAGTTTCTTCCAAACACTTCAAGAGCAGTTTCAGATCGTAACAGGGAGTGGAGAGGTGCAGAGGCTTGCTGATAGATGCACTGCATATACATAGGCCAGGTCCTAAGTCTACAGAAGCCAAGAGCTGTGTCTGCTTTGGGCACAAAGATCAGCAGGTCACAGAGGCAGCACAGCCAAGTCCTTACAGAGCAAGGGAGGGATGCAGGGATGGGTGTCTCCTTCTTCCCTAAACTGCCCAGCATGATCATACAAGTTCTCTCTCACTTCTCCCCCTGCTAGCCAGGTGCTCTACTCCCAGAGCAGGGCAGCATATACGATTGTGAGCAGGGGAGATGGTAATGACAAGGGCCCAGCAGGATCAGGAGGGAGGAGGCAGGGCCAGCACATGGTCAGCAGTGAAACCCTGAGTCACCCAGGACAGATGGAGTCTGAGATAACTGCTCTGAAGTCATTACCACACTACTAAATTTTGCTTTCCCAATAATTCCCAGAAAACAGTGTTCTTAAGCTACTGAGAAGCTTTCAGCTAGTTCTGATCATTTTCCCCCAATTCATATGAGGAAAAGAAGAACTACACACTCCTGGTTGAAAACTTTCATAGTAAAAGGATTTCATTGATTCGAAAGTGTAGATCAATCTTTAAGAAGAGAGCATATGGACAAAAAAGGCCTAATTTCAAAAAACCTTCCAAAGTCCTGGATAAATTTTTAAACACACCTAAGTTTTGCATTAAATACTCCATGGTCATGGTTTTGCACACACCTGTTTGCATGCAGACAGTCTGGAATGGGAATCCTGTTCATGCTGGTATCTTGCACTTGCCATTTTTTTGAGAAGCTGTCTATATTGTGTCTCTTGAAGCCATGTGGATTATTACATTTGTCTCTAACATTCTGACCCTGGCCACCTTACAATTTTTGCTTTCCCTGCTGAAATCTCTTCTGAGATCAGATTGAAAGTGTTCTTCAGCATGGCCACCTGTACAATCAACTTTACTGTCAGATAATGAAATAAAACTATTTATTTTTACTTACCTACCTATAGATACAATTTTCTTCCCTTCTGCATTTCCTTTTCCTGTATGTAAAAATGTGTCAGTAATGATAACTGTTATTAGTATTTTGCCTATGACCACAGTGCTTCTCTGTTAAATATTTTAATAGAAAATTTTTCTGAATCACAACTGAGCCATTCCCCTGTGCAAGACATGTCTGAGAGCTCTGTCTGAAATCACAGAGCTACTTCATGTGAGGCAGAAAGAGACCATGATGGTTTATGTCCATCCCAACATGCATAGAAAGGCACTTACCATGCCCATTAGGATATTCCTAATTACTGGAGATAAGAAGCTCACCAGGGGATCTCAAGCTTTCTCTTTAATAAGCTTAGAAGGGAGAAGGGTGTGTATCATAGCTGGAGCAAGATATCTATACCCAGTTTCATGAATCTTCTTATGTTACACACTCCTAATCATATTAAATTAGACAATCTTTAAGGTGATTGCTTTACATGTTGCAGAGGTGTGAACACATATCCTAGAGGCAGAAGAGATAGAAGCACTTCAGTTAAAATTAACTTTCTCTCTGACTGGGAGCTTTTCACTCCTAGGTGGAAAGGTTTGTATGGGATGGAAATATTAGCAAGTATGCATTGCTGCCATTCCTTGTTCTCTACAGGCATTTCAACTAAAGCTACAGCAGGCAAAAGATGCCTACAGTCAGTGCTGCTTAACATGTTCCAACTCAAACCTCTGTTTCTAGTTTCTTGCACATCTTTCATAATTTAACCATTAGAACTGAAATTTTCAACAAATAGAAACTCTTCTGACAATGACAGTAAAAGAAATAATTGTAAAATGACCAAATTTCCAGGTACCATATAAACATAGCTGAGTTTCAAGTGTCTGAAAAGCATTTGTACACACTCAACAGGGATTAATAAACAAGGCTCATGTTCTGTCTGGACTAAACATGCTCTAGGCTAAAGTGAATGTGATTCAGCTCATGCTGGAGATGACTCTGGAAGCAAAGCTCATGAGAGAAAAAAATGGCTCCCTGTGAGAGAACTGGGAAAAGCTGGAAGAGAAGCAGGAACTAAAGCCTGGAAAGGATGTAAGAAAAGCAGAAAGGGATTAAGAAAGAGAGGTAAAAACAGACGTGTATAAGAACACAAAGATTTCAGAGTATCTTAGTATAAATCAAGAAAACCTGCACATTGTCTAACAAAATTCTGTAGCCCAGTACATCTCATTCCCTGCTGACAAGTTCTCCATGCAAAGACTAATAACCTGTCACTGTGCTGTCAGTTAGCTCATCAGCTTATGTGGAAATCCACACTCAATTCAAAGGTATTGGACTTTATGACCTACCAATCTCTTCAGTGTAACCAGCCTGAGATTTTCTGTGGGGGGGAAATAAAAACAAATCTGAAGGAAATTTTTAAAGATTGTATCACAAACCTTTCCAGCAACCTGAGTATTTCACAACATTAACTACCTGACTTTGCAACTTCACTGTTTGAAATTTCTCTGTGTCATGTGAAATGTTTTAGCAGCCATTTATTAAGAAACACTCATAAAAATATAGTACTTCCAAAAACATTACTCATGCTATGAAGATTATCTTGATGGACAGAAGTTGCATAATTTACTTTGCTGTTCCCATAATTTTATGTGTTTGTTATAGATGTCATTCATTATAGTGAAACTAGTGACTCTCATTTCCATTTGATTGCTAATCTATAAAATGCTTCTTCAAATAACCAGGTGAGAAACTCCACCTCTAAAGCTATAAAGCCATAATACCTAAGAAAGAAAACCTGCAACAGATATTTCTCCTCTGGACAAATATTTTAGATGTGCCGTCTAAAGTCTCAGAGATTTATTGGGTGTGGAGTATGTTGAGAGTTGACAAGAACAATAAATTTAGTGCCAGATTCGTGACACTTACCCCATCGTAGTTTCCCCTCATAAATACTGGAGAAAAGGATTTCTCTCACATGCCCTCTGGTACATTCATCAAAATGCCTTTTGAAATGTGAATTAATGAATAATTACATCCCAACATGGACAACAGAACATATTTATTTAAGGAGATTTGTAACTTCACTTTTGTATCACCTGAATGACAGTGTCAAAAGCCAGGACACAGAAATAATGCAGCTAGCATGCAATTTCTGGAGATTGCTGCTGCTTTGTACCATAAAACCCATCTCAAGAGCAGCAGAGTTTGATGATGGGATACACCTATTGCTCAAGAATTCACACTTCCAGAATCCAAGCCCTGAATCTCATATGTTGTGCTGCAGTCTAATGCATAAGTGTTATCACAGGGAAAAAATAAAAAAAATCTGTCAGGAGTTTCTTCCTGGATAGGTTGGCATCAGCAAGTGTTTAATAGAAGGCAAACTAAATGACACAAGACTATAATTCCAACTGCGTTGAAATCAGCAGAAAAAAACTATTAGCATGAAACTTTCTTCAGATCATCCTTCTCTATTCCACGGGCAACATCTGCAAACTCAGTGACTCAAATCACTACATTGGATCTCATGCCCATCTCTCTCCATGTCTTTTACCTAGGCTCTCACTGTCTTCCTTTGTCCATCCTTTGTCCATGAGCATTTTTCATCTCCGTGAAGGCACTTTTCTCCTGATATGACCTCTGTAGACCTTTCTTGACCTTTCCAATCCTCATGCCCTCTTTCTCCAGTTCATGTGAAGCAGTGCCTTTGAGGATGTGGCCATTCTTTACAAGCACTTTGCTTTGCTCAAGAGTCACTCAGAAACACATTCTTCCTGCCATACCTGTGTATTACACCTTGGCTTCACAGCACTGAGCATCCTGGTGCTTCTTTGTAGGCAGCCAAGTCCCACACATCCCTGTGTGGTCAGCACCACTGGTCACAAATCCAGAACAGCACTGTGAAGCTACTGTGAAGACAATGAACTATATCCCAATCAAAACCAGAACTTTTTTTTCATCTTACCAGCCCCATCCTGCCCAGACTTATCACATCATCCCCCTGGCATCTGGATGATGAGTCCTAAAGGGGGTCTGGGGGTAAGGACTGAGATACTACTGGGTTTGAAGCATCGAGGAGAGACCTCAGGCTCTGTGGTTGTGGTGATGCTGAGGGTGATGACCACGCTGCCTGCCAGGATGAAAAGAGGCATGAAGAAGTGCCTGGGGAAGTGGATATGGATGGTATTACACCTGACGGGTTGCAGGGGAAGTAAGTCATCGCTGATCACGCAGAAAACCTGGCAAGTTGCCTTCTCTCCCTTCATCATTCCCAACAAATAAGGACTCAGCTCTTTGGGCAGCCATTCCTTTCCTCTCCAGGGCATATGGGAAGCTGGGATGCAGGGACCAAAGTGGGTGAATCCACCACCTCCACCACACTTGGTCTGACGTGCTATTGCTTAAACCTGGTGGTGTACCCTTAAAGATCAGCACACCACCCTGCACAATGCAAGAACTGGTTCCAGCTGCCTCCCGTGAGAACTTCTGAAAAGCACATTTCTTCACACATTCCACATACCCTCTACCTCCAGATCATGTTTCTTGTGATGGCCTGTGAGTCTGCCCCTTCCTACTTACATCTTGTCATGTGGCAGCCACATGTTGATTGTTTCTCCATTACTCAAACCTAATAT